CAGATCTATCACGGGAACTGAGGATGGGGCACAATATCAATAGGGAAAGACAGAAAGTGAATCAAAAACTTGGCATAGGTGAGGGTTGTGAAGCAGCCTGAGGGCGAGCAGAAACGGTGAGTGGACAGACAAAAGGAAGGGTTACAGCCAAGGCGAGATGAATGAAGGGTCGTGATCTGGGGTAAGCAGCGAGATAAAACACAATAATCAGGGTTTCTTATCAAAATAGAGGAAGGTAAATCAAGAAGAAGGAGAAGGAGGTGTGGAAGCCACATGAAGGAAAGCTGGGATTAATAATAAGTGGGGAAAAAGGTGTCGGTGGTGGAGGGATGGAAAGGATCACCAATCCAACGCGGCAAATAAGATGTCAATGAGAGTGGTCAGCAGTGGCAGCATAATCAAATGTAGGAGCAAATTTTAGTAAGGAGGAAGGCCAGCAAAGGTTCATGAAGCAGCATCCATGCACACGAAATAAAACAGGCTGATGGAAACATGACCAACGCAAAGACTGGAATTTGATGGAGCGACACAGCAGGGAAAGGCAGGGGAGGTTGAAATGACCAGTTGGGTAGGAGACAAGATATCAGGGTGAGAGAAGGAGAACATGAAGGATAAAACAGGTTTCATGACCACCGTGGAAGTGTGGTTGCAGCGACCTAACCGAACCTCACTCCATCTAACTCTCTGTCATTGATTTTCCTCAAGATCTGAAGAACTTAGATGGCGCCAGAAGAAAGTCTGGACCTGTTCATGGTGCTTATGGTGTCCTCACTGCTATGCGAGTAGGAACGAAAGTGGATTATTGGGCTGATTTATGCAATAATGTATCAGCAACTCTTTCTGGAAAAATTAAAATGATTACATCCTAGACACTTGAATCCCAACAATTTAGGCATGCATTAAAATCAAAGAGATAGCCACAGAAGTTTTATAGGTTTGGCTATATGGGGGAACCCGGTGTAACAAAGAGGAAGTGTCATCTCATACCATTCCTTTACGGCAAATGCTTCTAGAAAAAAATTATATGAAAATATAGCAAAATAAATTCCACCACAGCCAAAATAAAAGGGAAAGGGGGTAGGTGGGGTGGCATGACAACTGGGTGCTTTTGGTGTCAGCAATGCCTTTAGTCTATTTGTCAAACACATGCCCAGATATCTCTGCAGTGAATGGAGAATGAACGGCTCCGTCTTGGTAGCTCAACCTGCTCCATTCTGCTTCTTGGTGGCATAACGCCAATGGTTGCAATACTTCCCTTTAATAACACGACAGACAGTAAAGTGAAAAGGATCAAATTGAAATAAAATTGATAACACGCAGCAAGATGAATAAAGAAGCATGATGATCAACATAAAGACAGATGTGGAAATAATAATGATAAATAGAATCAGCAACTTTACAATAGAAGGTCAATGGGAGCCAAATCAAGTCCCATGGTTTGTGATTCACTATACGGCCAAAAGTCTGTGTACCCCTGACCATCACACCTATATTAGCTTGTTGTCATCCCATTCCAAAGCCATGGCCAATAATATGGAGTTTCAACCCCATCGCCATTCATTTGTAGTTGCCCTCCCTTGGTCATTAATATTGAGTTATCCCCCCCCCCCTTTGTGGCTCTGCCATTCTCCACTCTTTTGGGAAGGCTTCCCACAAGATTTTGGAGGGTGTCTGTGGGAATTTGTGCCCATTTGTGGGCTCAGGTACTGATGTTGGATGAGAAAACCTCATACATGAGGCCCCACGTTGGGCGCCATGAAAAAAAACACCTGGCTCACACCTGGCATTCCAATTTATCCCAAAGGTGTTCAGTAGGGTTGAGGTCGGGGCTCTATGCAGGACACTCAATTTCCTCCCACCCAACTGGTCACACCATGTCTTAATGGAGCTGGCTTTGTACACAGGGGACAGTCATGGTGGGACAGAAAAGGGTCTTCACCAAACTGGTCACACCATGTCTTTATGGAGCTGGCTTTGTACACAGGTGACCGGCATGGTGGGACAGAAAAGGGTCACCAAACTGGTCACACCATGTCTTTATGGAGCTGGCTTTGTACACAGGGGACAGGCATGGTGGGACAGAAAAAGGTCTTCACCAAACTGTGATAAGGTTGAAAGAGCACAATGGTCTACAATGTCTTTGTATGATGGAGTATTAGAAGGACCCTTCACTGGAGACACCAGAACCTAATTATTTGGAAGAGTGCCCACATAGTTTTGGCCATCTAGTGGGTGTGATGGTCAGGTGTTCGGCCACATGGTGGCACAGGATGTGGCAAATATTATGAGCATAGTCTATATTGGAGCACAGTGAAGAGTAAAGGTTGGTTATGAAAATGCCAAAAATGTGGTTCCATGGCACAACTTGTGTCCACTGTGCCTGTTCCTCCATTTAATTTCCATACCAGCTCATGGGACCCCTCTATAAGAGAATGGCTGCTTTTAATGGTCAAAGTGAAGGCAGTTTAAATGTCACAACAAAGTCCCAGCGTCTACCACCTTTCATAGTTGCAGATGTTGGGACTTTAGACTTTAATGAGGACCTGTACTGTGCAAGCTGTGCCTAAAACGGCAAGCAGAGGGCAGTCCATTAGTCGCCGGTATTGGTCTCCCTTAGGGCTGCAACAACTAATCGACATAATCGATTATAATCGATTATTGAAAAAGTTGTCAACTTTTTCAATAATCGATTAATCGGCTCCTGATTGGTTGGCCCTGTTCACGGCTTAACACACGCTGCTTGCCACACCTCCTCCCCCACCTCACGCTCGCCGCTGCCAGACCTGCCCGCATCGACGCTCCCGCACCTCCTCCGCGCCTCACGCTCACCGCCCGTCCAAATCCACGATCGGCGCGGGGACGCGGGGAGAAGAAGTAAGTGGCGGTGGTATTCTGCATTGCACTGTATAGAGGACTACAAATCAAGGAATACCACCAGCTATAGAGGAGTACAACAAATCCCAGCAATAATACATTATACAGTGGTGCAATGCCGAATACCACCAGCTATAGAGGACTACAACACCCAGCAATAGTACATTATACATTGCAATGCAGAATACCGCCAGCTATAATGTACTATTGCTGGGATTTATTGTATTCCTCTATAGCTGGTGGTATTCTGCATTCATTGCTGTATAATTTTACACTTTTCATTTCACTATATTGTACACCACACTTTTTTTTCTTTTTTACTTCTACTGCTCCAAGCTTGCTCCTGTGATGGACTGCAATCTCAATACAAACTAGAAGTCCCATCACTGGAGCCATTTTTTAAAATGTATTTTATTTTTTATCCGATTAACCGATTAATCGAACTTAATAATCGGCTAACTAATCGATTTTGAAAATAATCGTTAGCTGCAGCTCTAGTCTCCCTACAGCTGATCTTCTCCTGATATCCACTAACCATGCCTTGTTCTGCGATGCGTTATAGGACAGATTCAGGAGGTCATGTCAGAGCTACCCCCTAATGATTGGTGGCCTGATGACTGGTGGGGTAATGATGAAGAAGCAACAGGAGAAATGGAGAAACCATAGAGCCATACAATTGATGAAGCAGAAGCCGGGAAATGCTTGCACTGCAGGGCCTCAGGCACAGCTTCCTCTCCAGCAAGGAGAAGAGTGAGCAGCACAGGTGACATCCTCAAATCTCACTCCAAACCTGGTAAGACTAGAGGTCAGAGGCAGCAGTGCCTTAGATGATCTCACACTGCAGACATAGGCACAGGAACTGCACTGATAAGAATTCAAGGCAATTGGTAGTTTTTTAGGCTACTGCTGGGGCTCAACAACCATTTCCAGATTTTCAATAACATCGCAAGTCCAGTCCACTTCAGCAAAACTCTGGGGGATGTTCAAGGTTTGGAATATCAACAATCCAACCCAGATATGTTCTTCTCCATAACTTTATCCTGGACCTGGTCTGATAGCTCTTTGGTCTTCAGGATATGATTTGTTTAGACCAAGGGTGGGCAACTGCGGCCCTCCAGATGTTGTGCAACTTCAAGTCCCATGAGGCATTGCAAGACTGACCGTTACAGGCATGACTCCTAAAGGGGCATGTTGGGATTTGCCTTTAAAACACAGCTGGAGGGCCGGAGTTGCCCACCCCGGGTTTAGCCAGAACTAATTCTAGATCCTTCCAGAAACAGCTCTATTTATTCTGAGACCCCGCAGAAGGATGAACTCCATGAAACCCATTATGCGGGTCCTGACAGGAAGTGGTTACGCTAGAGCTCATTTAGAGGATTTCACCGCAAAGGTGGGTGACTGCTCAGGCAATCAAGTCCTTTCAGCTGATCTGTAAATTATTCGGGAAATTATGTAGATCTGTTTCTCTATTCCAGCATTGTGGACTGAAGAAATCACGACGCGCCGTTCGGAGCTGCAGGCCCATATTTTTGCATTTTCATAAGTGACCTTTCTCTGGTGACCTATGCTGTGAAATAACAGCGTTCAGTCAAGATTATAAAAAGGAACATTTCCCCCAAAAAACAACAACTGTTCTTTTTCACCGAGAGGTCTGAGACAAAGTCACTGGGAGAGGAGAGAGTGGAAGGAATTCAACCAAGAATGGGCAATGGCCGACCAAATCGTGAGGAAAAGCAAGACGTCTAGAAGAACTCCAATCATAGAAGATGAATTTTAGGAGACCTTGTGTGTAACTTCAGACCTGCCCCTGCAATGTGAGGTCAATGTGATATAAATGAATGTGAATACTCACCACCGTTGGTGGAAATGTCTCAGTGGACGTGTAGTTAAGGTTTCTATGTTTTAGATAAACCATAAGAGTGCCTGGAAGCTAAAAGACTCCATTCCATTTTATCCCAGGTGGATGGATAAGCCTGAGCACTGCCTTGGTACTAAGCATAGCCTAAGCAGTTCTCTCACGTTTGCAGATCATCAAGATTCTGAAGATTATTCTGATGATACCCCTAACCTCATCCAACGCTGTCCATGTAACAATCCGCCTTGAGCCTTGCCCATGTGCTGGACAAAGCGAGGCAGCTCAGCTCTCTGCAGCACACACCTGCACTAATTAGGAAAGCTTAAGTAGACTGTTGGACATCTATTCTAATCAACAGGTTGTTCATGTTCTACATAGAGGTCTGGCTGACTCCTGGATCATTGTAGCCAGCTTGCCTGTGCTTATCCTGACCATCAGCTTGTTACCTCTCAGTTCTCTCTACCTGTCCTGAACTTGGACGATGTTTGGGATTGGTTTGTCTGCCCCTGATCTGACCATCGGTCTGCCCCTGATCTTACCATCGGTCTGAGAACTTGCACCTCTCTACTATCTGCCTGCCTGTTAGTCGGTGGCCAATTTCAGTGGACTGGTTCCACCATAGTCTGTGACACTTCCACTCTTAAGCCAGTGTGTAACCATCAACAGAAGTCAACTGGAAGTGATTTACAAAGATATGTGCAAGGTGTTTTTCCTCCCCCCCCCCCACCCCCCACCTCTCTCACTCTCCTTTTTTTTTCTT